ATATATATATATATATATATATATATATATATATATATATGTCATTTATTTTTCTATGAAAGACCACGATTGTCCCATATTTTCCTTTTGTGAAGTTGGCAACCCTACAAGTGACTGTCTTTATGAATGGGTAATTGAATCATTGGTTCACTAGATTTGTTTAAAAATGTATGTTCATTCATTAATGAAACACCACTCTGTTTGCTTGGAGATGCACAGCAGCTCAGCTGTGACTTTGTTTGAAACCATTTTCGTTGACGAAATAGAGCAAAATCAGGCAATAGTGTTGTAGTCCGACAATGTGAGTCACTTAATATTGACTTCTCGTTTATTGAACTTAAATCAGTGTCACATTTGCATTTACATTGTGTACACTTTTTGTTTGTTATAATGAGAGGATTCGTGAGCTTGCATAACTCAGCACTGAACAAAACTCCGGTGTTTTGAGCAGTGAATGCATTCTGATTAACATTTCGACCAAGGAATCAACAGATATGTCTGTGATACATTACTCAATGCTGCAAAAACATGTAATTAGAACATTTTGAAGCTCCCCTGAGCGTAAACACAAATATGATGGTCGGGTCAGTCGCACTGGTGCTCCTAAATTTTTTTTCATAGTACACAGTAGTTTTCAGTCGCAAATGTGACTGAAATGGTCGCACTGTAGAGGCCTGCAGCAGCAGGTATATTTTCTCCCAACTGTTCACTTAAGACATAACTGATTATGTTTACTTGCCAAGATGGTCATTTTGACACATTTTGTGTGTATTTGACATTTAAAGCTCAATAAATGACGAAGAACTCATGAACTCAATTTAGTACTCACATGTTAAAACGATAATGATAATGATCATTTTGTGACGATGCTACACTGCAACATAATGTAAGCATAATCGTGTTAGAGAAGATAATCCAAAATCTCAACTGCATGTATCTACCAGTATATTGCCTAAACCTATTTCAGAGACATTTTTTTTTACTTGGCTGTTGTTTTAACACTTCACATATGCCTGATATATGCATAGATCAACAACTAAATGATAATACGTATGGACCCCCAAATAATTTAGTTGATTTATCAGTTGAGCACTTGAGTAGACAAAATTACTAACATAAAACGTAAGGTGTCAGTATTTTACAGCTGACATGATGTGGACAGACTGGTGGAGAAGGTAGTTGTCCTCCCTGAAATAATAAACAGCCCTGTTTGAAGAGATCACCACAGGCATCTGTAAAAGCAAAAAGCAGCAACATATCTTTTGGGAAATTCTGCGTTTGCAGTTGCTGGGGCCCATCCCACTTCAAACCCCCCAACTCCCACAATCCAACAGTTAGAAGTTGTGAGTTGGAAACTAGCCGTGTCTGTAGGCACAGCTGTGTCAAGACCTGCTGGTGTGATATTTTTTCCGTCCTACCTGCCCTTCTAATGTGAGAATTCCCTTCTGAGTGGGTGGCAAGCAGAAGCAGAAAAACATTTTCTGTCCCTCCACTACTTCCTCATTTCTCTCTCTGTTTTTGGGAGCTCTTTCTATAGGCTATCTATTATACTCTCTTGGTCCTCTATCTATTCTGTACTTTTTTCCCCTCATGCACCTGACTGGAGAGTTGCTTTCTCCTGATCAGGGCTGCTGTAATAATTGGCTGTCCCCTCAGCTCGGCTCAGCACAGCACATCTTCCAGTATAACAGGCTACAGTTTCAGCCTGCCTTGCACTTTAGGATCTGACAACTAAATTGTTGTTCACAGGTAAGAAGACAGAATTGTATGTTAATGTCCACAACATTGTAGCTGCTGTTTAGGCAGGAAAATAAAGGAAACAAGATGGCATTAGAGGCTGGAGTTGCACAGCAGGATGTGCCGTTTACATCTATAGCATCAAAGCGGAAAAGAAAGTCGTTATGGCTGAGGCCCAGCAGACATAGTCGTGGCTTGAGCTGGGTTGTAAAACCAGTCTTCAACCTCTGATGCTGTCTTGTTGGTTTGCAAGACAGTCCATGCTAGTTCTCTCTATGTCTATAGGGTGATCCAGCTGCAGGGTAAAGCTAATCTAAGTGGAGGTTTGTCACCTTCTGTACCTTTTTTTGTTTGTTTTGTTTAACAGATATATTGAATAATAAATATTAGCCATATAAAGTTAGCCAACTCTTATGGCAAAATCATATACTTGAACCTGAGGTCACACACACCTTAATTAAATGCTGTAATATCCGACAGTTTCAGCTGCCATTTATAAACTTTTAATAAGTCATGCTAAAATCCATTTGAGTTTAGCCTTTTAAATGCTTTGTCTGGTGAATCTATTTACACCAAAGTCATTTCACCACAGGCTGTTTTAAATTAGATTTTTTTTTTGTGGTATAAATGTGAATATGGTTGTAATATAAAGAAAATTTGTTTCATTTTACTGGAATGCTCCCATAATTTAATATGTTCAGTATACGTTTAATCCACAAATTAAAGCACTTTGTGTATGTTTATTTTACAAATGAAGACATTTTTTCTGTGTTCTTAAAAGCAGAAAATGATATTGGATGAAGTTGGCTGCAGTCACTGTCTGATCTAGAGTCATCTTATCAGTTAAGGTTTGGGATTTTAGGATTGGCATACTGATGTTACATTTGCAGTCATGGATAATGTTATCTCTAAGTTGTCTTGAATTTAATGTCTAAATTCATATATGCACACAAAATGGCTAAGCTTTCATCAGCCTTCTGCTTCGCCAGTGTGTATGCTCACAGTCATAACAGCCCCTTTACTCTGCATGTTTTTTTGTCGTTTGTTCTCTGGCGCTCTCTACAATTTTATTTTTATTTTTTATGATGCCGGAGCTCATTCCCAGTCCCCGAGCCGCAGTAATGTCAGATAAGGGTGTGTGTTGACACTGATAGACTGCTCTTTATTAAAGCAGCCAGCATTAGAACTGTAGTGAATTAGCATTCTGCTCTGTTCTCTGTCTGCTTTTAACTGTGGAGCAATAAGCCCTCATTTCAATGCCATTCATTTTATTTGGTGAAAAAGGAGCATAGCCCAAACATCTCAAGAGGTCTTTCAAGTTGTGCTCTGGGAGGAGTTAGAAGGGATTTTATTAGTATGAGGGGTTTTTAATTAACAACCAGTCATCAAATCGGAGCAGTGAATGTTTTTCACTCTCCTGGATGTGTGCTTATATTCAGCACAAGTCAGTTTCATACCTGTCTTCAAGTCCCTACTAGCATTTTACACTGATAAACGTCTGCTTTTAATTCACAGCGAATACGGTGGACGGCTTATTTGAGCTTTTATTTTTTTACCAATTATCGCCCCACACACTGTTTTTATAATCATAATGTTCCATTTCATTATGCTCAAAACAGATAGTAACTCACTGAACGAACTGTCCTATGTGGATACTCATATCAGTGTGCAATAATAGCTCTGGAACAGGGGCTCTGGGCTTGGCTAGTTAGTATGGACCATAGACTTCAGATGACATACTTCTGGGGTCCTACACCAGTTGAGCAACCACCAATAAGATGAATGAGAATGCTAACCTTTATTTATTTATAGACCTCCTTGCTCTGGAGTGAATGATGTCATCAGTGGACGTGTCAAAGGTAATGTGTTTGTTGGCTCTGATGGGTGGTAGGCCTTGGGTATATGCTGAATATGTGTGTGGTCTGAAATGATTTTAAAAGGGCAGGTATTAGAGTCTTGGCCAGTCTGAAAGGGCTCCGCCCACACTGTCTGATCTGTATCTGAGGTTGTCTGGAGATGACCAAGGCCTGTCACCACCCTTTCGTCTTTGTAATCTTTCATCAGAATGTAATAAGCATTCAGGTCTGGCTCTATTCTGCTTTGAAACGGCCACTACTCACGATCCAAGCAATTCCTGATGGATAAAATCAAGTGATGGGGATACATATTCCATACACTCTCTCGTAGTCATACACTCTCAGAAGAAATTGTGGAAAAGCTATCATTGTGGTGGTACTAGGGTTGGGCCGATAGACGATGCCATCGTCCATCGCCGATGGCTGACAGACATCACGATGTTATGCTGACATCGTGATTCCTCCCCCCCACCCCCTCTCCCGCAATCTGCCGCATCCCAGTTCCGTGTTCGGAAAGGAAATGAAGTGTACTACGGAAACCCTAAAGGGAATAAATAGCCTACGAGATGGGAGGATAAAAAAATATTTCAATACTTTTTCTCGCAATTATATCGTTGGGTAAGTATAGGCGACTGTATATAAATTGCGGGCATCAGGGAGCCGCTATTGAAACCGCTTTCGATTGCGCGCACTCATTTTACTTTCACTTTCACTTTTGAGATCACAAGGACTCTATACTATGGAGCGGCAGTACTTACCATACATTTGACAAGATTAGATGTTTGTCATTGGTGCTCAGGATCTGCAAATCATTCGACATTGTCCTATCAGACATTTCTCCTTACTCTGTGTATGTGGTAAGTGAACTTTCATTGATTGGCCAGCTATCCAGTGCGTTGTGATTGGCCGAATACCTCAAGCGTGTGATGGAAATGTTACGCCCCTACCATACTATGATGCCCTGTCAGGCCGGAGCGATGAGACAAAAACATTAAATCCCATTATAAACGAGGCATTTGTTGCATCCAGTGGGGACATAATTAGGGATTATAATGACTTACTGTCTATAATGACTTATACTGTCTTTTTATGCGTTGCGTTGCATCGCGCCGCGTAAACATAAAACCATGTCTGCATTTGTGAATCATTCGCCATCGTCCTATCAGACATTTCTCCTTACTCTGTGTATGTGGTAAGTGAACTTTCATGTACTGTAATGCAACAGGCTACTGCTAGCAAGCGGCTAACCTTTTGGTGGCTCCGTATAACGCGTTATTTGTTTCACGCTTCGGTTTATTTAGTAATTTAGCCAATTTAGTAGACATCGGCCAACCCTAGGTGGTACCCTTTAAAAGGTACTAATAGGCACCATTTATGTAGACTGTAGGTACTAATATGCCTTTTTAAAGGGGTCATATGATGTTGCTAAAAAGAACATTATCAGCTATCCAGTGCGTTGTGACCACAGCGCGAAGTTGATGTATTTCCTCAGCGACCAGCACGGAGCTTTAGGCATGACGAAACTCTTTTGGAAGGCCAAACAAAGTAGTTTCGCTTTCACAACGAAACACAGCGTCTCCACGGCATGGCGGCGGCGGCAACAATACTACAGTGAGAATAAAAGTTACGCCTTCTTTCTTTGCGTGAACATTTGGGTGGCGTTATGCAAATCTTTCCACATCGTGACGTAGACGTGGGGGCGTGTTAGAACGAGCCGTTTTAGGTAGGCGTGGTTGACTCTTAACTTTTATAAAGAATATCTCTTTGGATTTGAGACTTTAGTCTTTGCAACTTTACAGATCTTCTTTATGCACCAAGAGCTTGTAACACTCCAAAGAGAAAGGAAAAATTGAAATCGCATCATATGACCCCTTTAAAATTCTAATATACCTTTTTAAAGGGTGCTGCACTAGTGGGAGCTTTTGTACCTTTTTTTAAGAGAGTACAGTACTTTAAAAATTTTTTTTTTTTATTCTGTTATGCATAAAAATGTTACATTACAGACATAAAATGGGTAGTGAATGCCATTTCTTGTTGACTTTAATGTATAGAATAGCCATTTGCCAGTTAAAAAGCCTACGGCTTTATTTTAAAATGATTGGCCCATTATGTTTTTGATTTTACCTTTGTTTTCACTTTTGACACTGGTTGCAACACAGATAAATTATTTTTGTCTGTATGTGGGAAGGCGGCTCGTTGTCATTCATGAGCAGGTGCTCTATGCTAATGTTAATTGAGTGAGTCAAATGATTCCAGATACCAGTTTCAGCTCTCTACTGTAAAACTCATTTACCGTTGTACAATCTCTCCAATCAGTGTATGCCACATTCAGCACTAGGGGTGGGAATCACCAGAGGCCTCACGATACGATATTATCACGATACTTGTGTCACGATACAATATTATTGCGATTTTAAATATATTGCGATATTCTGCAATATATTGCAATTTATTTCCTTTTTCCAACTTCAAATTATGTCCCCAAAGGAAAACTTTGACAACATCTGTTTTAACTAAAAAGAAACATTTCTCAGTTTGTTTATCTCACTTCAGTTTTATTATTGCAGTGCAAAATGGGATTGTCAAGCAGACAAACTGACCAACACTTTCATGAACACCTGTCATAAATGTTGTATACACCTGGCAAACTCAACTATTTGTATCACAGTCTAGTCGAGTCCACCTTAATTAAATGTAAACAGGTATGCATTGCTGTGCTACTACAGGTATTTTGAACAGTGCAACTTGAAATTGTACTAAAAAGTTGTGCAGACCCTTCAGCAATTGGGGCATTTGAAAGTAAATTACTGTTACATTTAAATTAACTTAATTAAAACGTGTAGTCTTACATCTAGGGATGCACCGAAAACCGAAACCGAAAATGCTTTGTAATGATTATTTATCTGCATA